TAGCATTATTATACTACCACGTTATAAAACAGGTAATTCAACAAATATTTTTTGACCAGGATTGTGTTAGTAGTTGCAGAATACAAAATACAGTTGAGTAAATACTTAGTTTTTTCCACATTCAAGACACTGTTCGAGGGACTGTGAAGACTAAAAAGATGGTAAAAATACAGTGTCTTCCCTAAAAAAAAAAACTTAACACTCTAACAGGGTAAACAATTTACATAAAATTATGCTAAAAACCAAGCCAATGTATCAGATATGTCAAGAGAAGTGCGTTAGAGATTCAGTGGAGAAGTCACAACCTGTAGTAGGGATCAGGAAATCATTTTAATGAGGAAACATTTGAAATGGGAATTTAAAGATGGTAAGAGCTGTGACTTAGGAATATAAAGGTAGCAGGAAAAGACTGGAGGAAAGGATGAGAGTAGTGGAAATGAGGAGGGGGCAAATGGGAAATTATAGAGGTACTAGTAATTTAAATTCAGAGGTAGTGGTTAAAGAAATCAATGATAACTAAAAGATTAGGGGACTATTAACAGAAATAGAAAAGTCTGAAATAGGGACTGGTTTTCTGGAGGAAATGGTGAGACTGATTTTTATTTGGCACTTTAATTCCCTTGTCAGTTGTTGGTCTTCCACATTCTCTCTTTCCTCTCCTTTGGACTTTAATTACATTTATGTTAGATTGTCAGACTGTGTCCCACATTTCTTTTTTTAAAAATTTTATTGTGCTTTAGGTGAAAGTTTAAAGCGCAAATTAGTTTCTCATTCAAAAATTTATACATAAATTGTTTTGTGGCATTGGTTGCACTCCCCAGAATGTGTTAGCACTCTTCCCCTTTCCCTTTCCACCCTGGGTTCTCCGTGTCCATTTGTCCAGTTTTCCTGTCCCTTCCTACCTTCTTGTTTTTGCTTTTGGGTAGGTATTACGCATTTGGTCTCCTATACTTGATTGAACGAAGAAGCACATTCTCCACATGTGTTGTTTTATAGGCCTGTCTAATCTTTGGCTGAAAGGTAGACTTCAGGAGTGGCTTTGGTTCTGAGCTAGCAGGATGCCCAGGAGCCAGAGTCTTGGGGGTTCCTTCAGTTTCTGTCAGACCCCAGTAAGTTCGGTCTTTTTTTTACAAATCTGGATTTTGTTCTACATTTTTCTCCCGCTCTATCCAGGAGTCTCTGTTGTGATCCCTGTCAGAGTGGTCGGTGGTGGTATCTGGGCACCATCTAGTTTTTCTGAGCTCAGGCTGGTGGAGGCTGTGGTTCAGGTGGTCCATTAGTCCTTTGGACTAATATTTTCCTTGTGTCTTTGGTTTTCTTCATTCTCCTTTGCTCTGGATGGGATGGGTCCAATAGATGTATCTTAGATGGCTGCTTGCAAGCTTTAAGACCCTAGACGATACTCACCAAAGCAGGATGTATGGAACTCTCTTTATGAACTATGTTCTGTCAATTAACCTAGCTGTCCTGAGATTATGGTCTCTAGGCCTCAGCCCCAGTATCTCGGGCCCTCAAGGTGACTGGATGTGTCTATGAAGCTTCTATGACTTTGCCTTGGTCAACCTGTGACTTTTTTTTTTCCCCAACCACATGTCTTAAACTCTGTTCTGTCCTTGCCATTCTTTTTTTCCTCTGTGCTTCAGTTTTCATATTTTTTTATTCATCTGTCTTTGACTTCACTATCTTGTCTTCTCATTCCAATATCTGAATGATCTGAAGGTCTCCTTCTGTTTTTTTCTCTTGATTATTGCTTACATTTTCTACCTCCTCACATAATTCAGTTTTTTTTTTAATACCAGCCATTATGTGTTAAAAAACAATAGAGCCTGAAGTTGACGCTATTTTTCTCCAGAAAAGGTTTGCCCTTTTTTTCTGTTAAGCAGAGTGAGTAAGGGGTGATCAAGGAGTATCAAGCAGGCATTGTACTGAATCAGGGATTTGGTTGCAGCCTTAATAAAATGCTGCCCACCTCTGGTTTCAAATGACTCACAGGGGAGATCTGTCATGTGTTTGTTGTAGGCCCCTTCCTCTAATGAGAGCTTTGTCTCCTAAGCACCACATGGCTGAGAAATTTCATTCTGCCTTTCCAGTCCAGTTGTTGTAAATCCTAACCTCTGTGTCTGTGGTTATAATCCCATTTAGGGATGGGTTGTCTTTATTATGTTAACAAGACAGGATAAGTGTAGAGTGTGTCTTAAGTAATCTCTTTTGAGATATAAAAGAGATTAAACAAGCAAGCAAAAGCAGCAGAGATGGGGGAAGAGAGCTGCCAAACCACATGAACATTGCCCAGGAGCAGAAACTCAGAAGAACAAGGACCTTCTTCCAGAGCTAACAGAGAGAGAAAGCCTTCCCCTAGAGTTGGCACCCTGAATTTGGACTGCTAGCCTCCTAAACTGTGAGAAAATAAATTTGTTTGTAAAGCCACTCATTTATGGTATTTCTGATATAGCAGCACTAAATAACTAAGACAGTGTGGAAGCATTACAGTTCAATGCAACAGCATGCACCAAAGCCCAAAGGCCAAGAGGAGAATAGTTTCCAGGAGGAAGATGGACGGAAGTAATCTGGCAGGAGCAAAGGGTGTTTGCTAGCCACCAGGCTGGCAGTGTAGGGTGGAGCCAGATGAATAGCGAGTTATAGAGGTGGGAACTGCTAAAGGCCAAGATGAAGATAAAAGAGAACCTGCAACAAACAGCAACTAGTTATGATGATAGTACAACTCTCAGACAAAGAGAACTATCATAGGTATGCAAAGCAGCAATGATGCAGGAAAACAAAACAACTTGCTGTACCAATCAACCAGTTTATTGTTGGGACAGGTATCCAATTTGGAAAGGAGGAACAGATGGAGTAAAGATGAGAAAGAGATGATTTATGATAAACACTTATATGTTTTCAGATGATAATTACAGAAACAAGGTTCTTTACTATTGGAGAGGTTACTCCATGAAATTTAATTCCTAGAATGATCATGAGGATGCTTTATTATATAGACATACTGGCTTGACAACTGCCTAAAGAAATCTGCATTACCTTAGGTCAAAACCAGTCATTACTTCCCTCCTGAGAATTTACAGCATCTGAACTTCAGAAAACTTGTAATGTCTTCTTAAAAATACTAAGCTGTCTTTAGCTTGATGGCTGTGGCATTCCCATACACTACCTTCCCCATCACATCCCAGTCAGAATTAACTGTGCTGATGGTATTGTGAATGCGTTGAACATTACTGCAGTGTAATAATTCAATCTGTAGTTCCTGGTGTATATTTTTCACTTGAACCTGTGAGGTAGAAATGATCAAGGGGACTGGGAGAATGCTGAGCACTTTAATTACTAACAGCGCATCTGAATTTCAGTAAGGTAATTCCTTTGAAATTAAATTGCTTATAATTTAGGACGTAGCATCAAATTCATTTCTGTGTTCTATGGAGTAATAAAAAATCAGTAGGATTTTTTCAGGGGTGATGTCTGAAGAAGTCATAGGATCTTCCAATTGAAATTAATCCAAATGGCCCCTCTCTATTTGCATTATTCCAAGTCTGAGAGACCTTCCTGTTTTAAGAGACTCAACTGTAGTACCAACATTCCATTATGAATGAACATGTGTCTCTTTGCCAAGGTCAAGTTTAATACCATTTCAGAACTTGTTTTTACTTCTATACTAACAATTTTAATTTTTGTTTTTCTTAAAGCAATCCTACGTCAGTAATTAGAAAGAACTGATTGTACTTTGCCAGTGACATTGCTTCCATGTTGGGTAGGGGCAACAGTTTACTTGTCTCCCCTAATTTTTAAAAAGTTTCAATGTCACTTAAAACCAGGGTCTTTTCCAATCTACTACCAGCAGATAATCTGGGCTACATCACACAATCTAGTTAGTTCTCAAATAGTGGCCTTCTCATTCCCAGAACCTGCAAAGCAAAGGACAGTTAGTATCTTTCTTAAATGGTAGTATGTTTGTTTGTCTTTATTACGTGGCAATTGATTTGGAGGCAAATTAAGCAAGGTGAGGCACCTATACAATAGCATTAGAGAATGCTGGAGTTTGGTCAATTTTAGGCATTATCGTTTTTTAGTAACTTTGGGCAATTCACCCATATTTCATTTTCTAATGCTGTAAAATGGAGTGATCCCCACTTTAAGGAGGTCTCATGAAGATTTAATAACAGTTTATGTAAAAACACAACAAAATCAAGTTTTAATTGACTACTATCCCACTAACAGAACCATCTGCATCATGCCTAGGTGCCTGTATCTTCTGAACAATTCAGGATTCATAATCTGGTAAGCGGAAAGAATATTTCAAATCTGAGCTGCCACGGAAAATTCAGGGAGTATGGTCAATCATTTTTTTTTCTAATAGCATTCTGAGCTGGTGGGGACCACATTTCCCAAGCCTTGAATCATTCTTAAAATTCACTAAGCTGCAGAATTACCATGCTTTGCTTTTAATTATATCTAGTTTATTAGCACTGTTTCAAAGACTAAATAAAATAAGCGTAAAATGCTAGAGACAGTACTAAACCCACACGAAGGTGCCTCCCTAAAACCTCCGTGGTGTTGGGTTATGTCATAGCAACCCTATAGGACAGAGGAGAACTGCCCCCATAAGGGTTTCCAAGGAGCACCCGGTGGATTCGAACTGCCAACCTTTTGGTTAGCAGCCAAACTCTTACTCACTACGCCACCAGGACAAGGCTCCTTAAAATCTTGGAATAAGGAAAAAAAGGAATGTGGAGAAGTGACAAAAGGCAGCTCTAGGGTAGAGCCCATCACCTCACAGGAACGTGACACGATAGTGATTTCTGGTCCGGCCAGACGGTTTTTCTCCAGCTAAACCTGAACCACCAGCATAACGCGTCGGACGCAGCAGGGCGGAAGTGGGCGGACTTGCTTCCTCTGCTTCCGGGTGGAGCCCGCACCACCTGCCCTCTGTCGCGGAGGCAGCGGACCGCGGGCTCGGAGCCTGGGCGCTGCGAGTGGCAGGCACAGAGTCCATTTCCGGGGGCGAGGGGAGCAGCGGACTGCGCAGGCGGTCGGATACGATCCAGTTTCCGGCGCGGCCACCACGGAAGTGTGGACAGACTTTTCCAGGTGCTCGAACTGCGGTGGGTCGGCGAGAGTGAGATGGAGGTGGGCGCGGAAGCTGTAGTTGGAGAGGACGGTCTCCGGGAGCGGCGAGGCTTGAGCGAGGCTGGGAGGCAGGAGCAGAACCGAGATGTGCAGCCTCAGTCCGGGTCAAACATGATTCCAAAACACTCCTACTGGTTAGATGTCTGGCTCTTCATCCTCTTCGACCTGGTGGTGTTTTTCTTCGTGTATTTTATGCCCTGGTGAGTATCCTGAATGGAGTCATAGCTTGTTGAAGTGGTAAGGGGCTTAGAGACCATCTACAACACTTTTTATGGGGAGGGGGGTAGGGACTGAATTCAAGAGGGTTTGTATGATATGTCCAAGGTCACACAGTGGCGGGGTCGGGTGGGTGGGGAGTTGAGAGGACTAGAGTGAGTGCCTTTCTCTGGCACCTCAGTGGGAAGTCTTTAAAGGGATTTGGAGGAAACTTGGCTTCATAATTTTTTTTTTTTTTTTTACATTCTGCAATGAAACCAGCTGGGTTTGAGTTACCGCACTGTGGAACTGGGGAAGTTTAGCTGGAACCTTATTTTCCCATCTAGGATTTGAGACGGAGTAACCACGTCAAACGGGTGTGATTAAGATTAAACAAGGTAGTGATTTATCTAAGAACGATTTGCATGTTGACTGGCAGTAATGAGTGCTCAATTAAAGCTATTGTTATTATACAACTGTTTGACCATGAGCAGGCCAGGAAGGTATCTCAAACTTAACATGTCCAAAACCGAACTTAGCCAAGTGTACTTTTCTTTCAGTGTTTCTGTATCAGTAAATGGCAGCTTTATCTACCCAGTTACTCCTGCCAGAACTCTGGGACTCTGACGTTCCCCTTTCCTTACACACACCCATATATCCCACAACACCAACAAGTCACAAAATTCTGTAGATTCCACTTGAAAATACACCTTAAATCCAAGCGGTCCATTTTCACTACCACTCTGACAAGGCAGTTGTGACAGGAGATAAAGGAAGGAACTTAGAGAATGGAGGAGGGGGGAATGAAACGAGACAGTAAGGGAAAAGCTACAAGTTTAGAGGTAAAGCAGTAAGATAAAGCAGGGGGGCCTATGGAAAAAAAAGCAGTGCAGCGCATTTAGACATTAAACAGCTCTCCTAGACTTTAAAGTTGATTGTTCACTCACTGTGTTATCTCCTCATTATCAGTTGTCTCCGCTCAGTCATCATGCTTATGAGTACCATGTGTCTAAGATTTTATATTTAGGAGTTTTTACTTATGAAATTTGCACTTCTTGATAGGCAATCACTGCCTTTTTCCCCCACCTCCCATCCCCAAATTTTGGCAAATATTTGGGCATAAGCTTAATGTATTTCAGGTCCTGTTGGCTCTGATCTTGGATGATGTGGCAAGTTAGAAAACAGAGGGTTGAATGAGGAGAATGGAATGGATGGGCATTTCTATAAAATCTGTCAAGCCATTTGTAGAGTTTCTATCCCCTCCCCCCTTTTTCTGGTAGATACCTTAAGTATGGTGATTTTTTTTTTTTTTTAAAGGACCTGAATTTTTAGCTCTGGAAGCCTTACAGGAGATAGTTTAGGCATTTTTATTTTTTGCTCTTATTAATACGTAAATCATTTGGTAACGGGCAAGTGACTCTAAAACAATCAAGATTTTCAGCAGTTGACATGAAAGTGTTAAAGTGAGAAGGAAAAGGAAACATTGCTAACAAATATTTGGTTCTTACAGACTGGTTTGCCTGATATCTAAATTAAGAAGTTGGCTTCTGGAGTGGCTTCTGAAAATGACTACAAACTTCTTGAATAAAGAAGACAGGCAAGATTGTGCAGCAGTAGAATTTCAGACTCCTAAGGGACTTTCTTTTCATTTTACACATTCTGTTATCATTTCGGGACTGTATTAAATGGGGAGTGATCTCACTCATTTATAACTAAATTCTTAAAACTAGACCTTTTTGTTCATGTTTAAAAACTTTTCAAACATCTGATGGCTTTACAGGGGCTAAATGTAAAAGTATTTGTACTTAAGGGTTTAGTGTATTCATCAGTAAATATAGTCATTCTTTTAATATTTAATATTTTAAGAATTGGTCAAGGTTTAATAGGCTGCAAATAATATGGTAAAATAAAAATATGGTGAAGTATTTATAAATTCAAAAGTAAATACTCAAAAGCAAGGAAAGGAGTTTGAGAGAAGGAACAAAGTTTTCTTAAAATGCATTAGGAGATTACAAATAACGAAAAGCTTTACAGAAAATGCTGGCCCACAATGTATTGGCTATAAGTGCCAGTTTAATTTTTAGATTTAAGGAGGACTGGGTTATAAAAAGATGTGTTACGGTTGATGGATACAAACTTATAGAAAGTAGATAATACCCAGTATTGGAAAGCTAGCTTGTGTGTTCTTTTACCTGGAGGCCTCTTCTTTCTTCTTTTCAAACCATTAAGTTTCCTAAAATAAGAATGTGTTTCAGAACTATTTTTTCTTATTGTGGTTATTTTAAAGATGCTTGTGACCAAAGCCTGATTTTTATGTCTGTAACTTACTTAAATACTTCAGCAGGTGCAGTGTGATATTTCCCCATTCAGTAGATATTTGAGCGCTTACTATGTATGGGCCAGGGAGTGTTTTAGGGACAACAGTGACCAAAACATAAAAATCCTTGCTTTCATGGAGTTTCCATTTTAGAGGTTTTTTTTTGTTAAAAATCTAATTTATCTAAGTACATGTTAGTTAATGAGAATTTACATTCCAGGGATGCTCAGCTAGCATTTAATCAAAAAGGCCACACTTCAAAAGCAGCTAATCTAAGGACTTCAGAACGATTTCTGGTAGTCCTAGGGGCTATCAGAAATGGGCTCTCATTGATGAAATTAGTGACATTTGATATATGTGTATTGGCTGGAGTATTTTGGGGATTTTCTCCCATATCGACAAGGTGTAAGGTCCAGTAAGCTCTACATCATGTACCTTTTTGAGATGCTTAGGGCTAAAGTCAAGTCCAAGATTGATTTTGGAGGATTCTAATTGCCTAATGCTGACTATAAGGTTAACAATTACAGCTTCAAGGTATTTTTGCATCTGCCTAAAGAGAACCCTTTATGCAAGGTATGAAGTATCTAGACCACGGAACTGGGATTTGATTGAGCTTACCAAGCAGGTTGTACAGTCTTTTGTGTTCTGCTTGCTAACAATGATGTTAATAAATGTTTACTTGTATAGCTGAATTTGGTCTGACTTGCTTTTATTATAACAAACTCCTGGTAGTGAGGTTGTGAGGGAATTAGGCCCATATCACTAGGGTTCCTATGTGTCAGGCGTGACTCAACAGCAATGGAATCACTCACCTACCTGTAACTGTTAACTACCTTAAAGAACCTAACAGTTATGCATGACCAAATTGACTTAGGTCAGTTCATAACAGTTCTCATACAGCTTAATGCTAGGCCACACATAAAGGCTTATCATACCTTTCTGTAATAGTCATACAGCCTATTACTGTAACTGTCAAATATTGTACAAATTTCTAATACAGTGAAGATGGAGAGATCTTAATATGACTGGAAATGATGAGGATTGAATCTTTCCTACAGATGATGAATATAGCTAGGAAATTGTACCTACTACCATACTGTGCCATCTCAAGTATACTGCCTGTTTAGTGCCCACAATTGAAGGTTTTTAAGAAGTCGATAAATGGGACACCAAAAAAAGTTGGCAGACTTGCTACAACAAACACAGACATCAAATGTGATTTTAATCTGATAAGTTTCATGTAAGTGATTATTCCAGTAATTTGAGATGAACTTTCATATTAGCAGTTGTGAGGAACAGTTTTTAGGGGTATGTTAGCTTGAAAATTTTAGGATGTCAAGAGCTCTGTATAACCAGCCCAGTTAAAAATTAGCTGCAAGTGGCATGGGACTAGTTACGGTGACTACAGGATACTTAGGGTCAATGAGAATATTTAAAGTAGATTACGCTCTAGGAACAAGAGTCATCAAGCTACGGCCTCCCCTGGGCCAAATCTGGCCCACTGCCTGCTTGAGCAGCCTGTGAACTAAGAATGGTTTTTATATTTTAAAATGATTGAAAAAAAAAAAAAATTATGACGCATGAAAATTATGTAAAATCCAAGTATTAGTGTCCATAAATAAAGTTTTATTGGAACACAACTATGTCCATTTATGTATTGCTTGTGGCTGCTTTCACATTACAATGGCAGAGCTGAGCAGTTGTTACAGGGACCTGATGTCCCACAAAACCTAAAATACTATCTGGTCCTTCACAGAAAAAGTTTGCTGAATCCTCTAGGAGCTACACTTTAGACCTTGCTGGAGTTTCGCTGATAGGCGCCTCCTGTGATAATATTTTATAATCTGTGAAATTACAAGTACCTTAAACTTTAAATTGACTTACATTTCCCATAGAATACATAGTCTGTGTTGGGAAGGGAGGCTTGGGGGACACAGTTTCCAAATTCAAAGAAAAGTCCAACAATATTAAAAATCTGTTTATCTTAAATTTTTTTTTAAACCAGAAGAAATAGATTTTACATGAAAATATAACACTCTGAAGATATTTTAAGCATTACAATAATTGGTTGCATTACAAAAGTTTTCATAATAAACTTACAACCAGATGAAAACACTTATAAATAGGCACCTTAGAAGTCAAAATTTTACATGTGAATGATTAGTAGTAAATGTGTATTCAATCTTATGTTTGGAGTGTTGAATCAACATAAAAACAAAGGGTCAGTTTCTAGTTTGTTTGGTACTATTACATGATTCAGGAGATAGCAACTGGACAGTACTTTAAAAGAGCCAAAATTGGACAATTTCTATTTGATGTTTTATAACTTCAATTGTGAGTTGAAAAGATGAAACTGGGACTGCTGTTAAAATATCAGAAATTAAATGTTTTAAATAATAGACTTTCAACTGGACATCTTTAACAAACAAATTAAAAAGAAAAACTTACACAGAAAGTTTTTGAAAGCTATTAAAATACTTGATGTAAACCTACTTCTCTAGTATTTTACAATGTTATGAAAGCAGGAATTAAATACACTGACATTTCAAATATAATTTTACAAACTTTACAATATTTACAAACCTTCCACACTAAGTTATGTTAAAAACAAGCTTTCTTAAAGGAGAAAATTTAATTTAGTTGGTATTCCAGGATTTCTAAATTAAGAGAATATAAAGTAATAATCACCTACTGTTAGAAAAGTCTATTAAAAACTTTAAAATTCTCTACCAGTGGAAGATAAAATTTGGCCAACATTTGGTAACTGGGTGAGGTTAAACTTTTACAAGCAATTATTTGCTATTTATCTAAAAGTGTTCATTTTTAATTATTTACATTTTGAAATTTTTTTACAGAATCAGTCAAGATATTCAATTTACTAATTAGTTTATAAAATTATTACGTTTTATCTATGAAGTTCATTCATGAAGGTAATGAAAATTTTGATTTTATAGTTCTTACTTCTCTGGAGTGGACAATATAAAACTATTCAAAACCAGCTCAGTATAGAATAAAATGGCAACTAATGAAATAAGGTAATTAAAACAACTTATTTTCACTTGTAAGGTCATATAGTAATGGAAAATTTATTTTTTAAACAAAACCCTCTCCATGAATGTAGCTGGAGTAAAATTACTGGTTATTTAGAGTAGGAAAAAAGGGAGGGGCACTCATATTAATAAGACATTTCATTAAAATTAAACCCTCTAAATGAATGGCAGAAATTTAATCTGGAAACCTAGGTAGCTCTGCAGATTCAAGAATATGAAAATCAATAAACTGGGTTGACAACCTATAATCAGGTGAGACTAGCACAGAAATTTCAGGCAGTCACAGTGACATTCCCAATGAGAGGGCTCTACGTTAATTACCAACACTGGTTATTAGCAGCCCAAAGTAAACCAAACCAAAATAAAAACCTTTCACATTTCATATAAAATTAGAAACAAATGTAACAAGATAAATAATACACTAAAGTATTTTAATTATTTTAGCTTACATGGCTGAAGTAATATACATACATACTATAGTCTAGGCATTCTGAAAATAAGTTCTAGGAGTAAAATTAAGTTTCCTCTGTACTGACCTTGAGAATTTAATATAAAAATTGCTGATCATTAAGGCATTTCCCTCCCGCAATGCTATATATTTCATGGGTTAATTTTTAAGATACTTAAAGGGACTGTATGTAGTAGACTATCACAGAAGTCAAATACAAATGGGTGAAGCCCTCTTTCGGTTACCCATTAGAAAGTGCTTCTTCATAAAGCAAAGAATGCTTTGACTAGACAATGTATCTATCACCTATTATTTTTCAATTAGCATAATTACGAATCTACATACATGGTTATGGGTTAGTTTAATATGTATGTGTCTACTAGCCACATAATAGAGGGGCAAATTTAATTTTTATTCAGCTGCAGCATATGATAAATGACTTGTTGCATACCCTGATTTTCTACTTTCCAAGGCATGCAAAACTATTTTCAGTAAGTTGATCATCACACAAAAAAAATTATGTATATAATTTAACCATATATACATACATATATATGGTCAAAGTAATTAATGGCTTTAAAATTGCTACGGTTTTCATTTTCTGTATCTCACTAAGGTACGGTCAGTAGGTTACTATTTCTCATTTTAATGGCCTCTGAGGAGTTCAAGCTTGCCAATTTCATCTTTTATCTATTACAATGTATACTACATTTATATTTTTGCTCAGAGGGACAACCTGAACCAATACTATTATGTAACATAAGTCCTAGCCCTCTTTCAGTCTGAGAGAGTGAATTATCATTACAAAAGCTACTGCTCTATGGGAAACACAGTTTGGGCCTCTGGTGGTATTTCAATCTATATGTATCAGTCATGCAGCTATCAACTGAAAAATAGGTAGTTAATGAAATTGTCTCACTTGGACACGCAGAACTAGGATCTAGTTCTGGCTGGCAAAACCCATCAACGACTGCACCTGTGTCTCCCCGAAAATCATAAGTTGAAGAGTTGGACAGGTAGTCTGGTGTGTTGCCAAAACACTCTTTCACTTGAAATGTTTCCTTAAGTCTTTCATCATTTATATATGTACTCATTTCTAAACCTGGTTCTGAAACTGTACTTTCACTGTGCTTTGGAAGACTCAAAGAATTAGCTTTACACATCTCTGTAAGTTTGCCATCAGGTGTAGATTCACTTTTCTCTGACTGTGGCACATTAGTTGCAGCATGTTTCTTTGGTGGCAAAGGAGGCGGTAGATTCTGGCAAACAAGTTTTGGCACCTGACAACCATCAGATCTGCAGGTTGACTGAATTATACGTTCCCTGGATAGAGAGTTCTCAGAGTAACATTGTTCCATCATATTTTGTGGCTGCATCACAGAAGCAGTTTCTGGCTTTAACCCAACAGTTCTCGTGTGTGACGACCACAATGGAGATGGTGACATTATTTCATTAGTGTTCACTCTCTTTCCAGACGCAGAACTATCATCAACATGAAAAGGCAAACCTGTTCTCTCAGAATTTTCTATATTAAGCCACTCAGAAAATTTGCATTCACTTGATTTTTCAAGCTTCTGTTCACCTGACTGTTGGATATGCTCTCTTGCAATATGGTCCTTGAGTAATTGTGGACTGGATGAAGGGAATAACTTTCCACTGGTTTCATGTGTTTGTGACCTGAAATACGAAAGCAACATGAAATATGAAAATACTCTTCTAATAAAAAACAAAATATGAAAACAAAACAAAAATACCATATGTAAATATGCAAAGTATGGGAAAAATCAAACATTTGTCCTGTAGTCTGACTTCCCAATATGCAGTGTATATTATTTTTGTAATACAACAACAGGAGAGTTATTTGTAACCATTAACATTTCAGACTATTCGTGAACCCAATATTTATGCCAGAATACATGAATGCTTGCCAGAAACATCCATTATTACTGAAGTCAGATTTCTAATAATTAGAAATACAGTAATTAAAAAAAAAACTCATTTCAATTTACAAACACTAGAATTACATTTATTTGTGATAAAATGTAGTACAGAACTTAAGGGAAATATGTTACAAGCAAATAATTCAATACTCTAGGAATTCTGATACGCAATGCTTAAGGATAATATGTTCTTGTTTTTGGTGCCGTTGAGTCGGTTTCGACTCATAGCCACCTATGCACAACAGAACGAAACACTGCCCAATCCTGTACCATCCTCATAATTATTGCTGTGTTGCAGCCACTGTGTCAATGCATCTCATTGAGGGTCTTCCTCTTTTTCGCTGACCTTCTACTTTACCAACCATGATGTCCTTCTTCAGGGACTAGTCCCTCCTGATAACATGTCCAACTTATGTGAGATGAAGTCTCGCCATCCTCGCTTCTAAAAACATTCTGGCTGTACATCTTCTAAGGCAGATTTGTATATTCAATATTCTTTGCATCAATTCTTCTTTGATCTTCCTTATTCACCGTCCAGCTTTTGATACATGTGAAGCAACTGAAAATACCATGGCTTGGGTCAGGCCCACCTTACTCCTTAAGGGTGATATCTTTGTTTCTTTTTTTTAACACTTTATAGAGGTCTTTTGTGGCAGATTTCCCACTGCAATGCGTTGTTTAATTTCTTGACTGCTGCTTCCATGGGCACTGACTGTGGATCCAAGTAAAATGAAATCCTTGACTACTTCAATATTTCCTCCATTTATCATGATGTTGCTTATTGGTCCAGTTGTGAGGATTTTTGTTTTGTTTTTTTTTATGTTAAGGTATAATCCATACTGAAGGCTACAGTCTTTGATCTTCATCAATAAGTGGTTCAAGTCCCTTCACTTTCAGCAGGCAAGATTGTGTCATCTGCATATTCCAAGTTGTTAATGAGTCTTCCTCCAATCCTGATGCCACGTTCTTCTTCAGATATTCTGGCTTCTCAGATTATTTGCTCAGCATACAGACCGAGTAAGTATGGTGAAAGGATACAACCCTGACACACACCTTTTCTGATTTTAAACCATTCAGCATCTCCTTGTTCTGTCAGAACGACTGCCTCTTGGTCTATGTACAGGTTCTGCATGAGCACAATTAAGTGTTCTGGAATTTCCATTCTTTGCAAGGTTATCCATAATTTGATTCACACAGTCGAATGCCTTTGAGTAGTCAATAAAACACAGGTAAACATCTTTCTGGTATTCTCTGCTTTCAGTCGAGATCCATTTGACATCAGCAATGGAATCTGTCATTTCACATCCTCTTCTGAATCCGGCTTCAATTTATTAGCAGTTCTCTGTTGATATACTGCTGCAACCATTTTTTAATTATCTTCAGCAATATTTTACCTGTGTTAGTATGTTGTATAAAGGTAACATACTAATTAAAAATACTCTAGTTACTCAAAATTACCTCTATTTAGATAATAATTAACCTCTAAGGTGAAGATAAGGCACCCTGGTGATGCAGTGGTTAAACTCTGAGCTGCTAACTGAAAGGTCGGCAGTTCGAACCCACCAGTCGCTCCAAGGGAGAAAGATGTGGCAGTTCGCTTCCATAAAGATTTACAGCTTGTAAACCCTATGGGACAGTTCTATTCTGTCCCACAGGCTTGCTCTGAGTAGGAATCGACTCAACAGCAGTGGGTTTGGTTTGGTTTTGTAAGGTGAAGATAAATGATATCATGTCGCAAATATATTTTATGACAATTATTTTTCTCATAGAAATTACATGGGCAAGTGTTTCTGAATTAAAAGGGCTGAGGCTTTGTTAGGTAAAGGGAGATAGGCTCAATCAAATCTCAGCTCCATTACTTTGGGCAATTTACTTAATCTAAGCCCCAAATTTTCTGTTTTGGAAACTGTCACCCAACCTTGTAAGAAAGCTGTCAGGATTAAAACAGACAATCATGTATTGTATTTGGCACTTGGTAGGCCCTCCATCCTTAGGCCTACATCCCTTTTGATTCCCAAAAAGGTAGATGTCATAATACTGTAGAGTCATTGCTTTCTGGGTAATAATATGTATTTATGTCTTCCTGATAAATAAAAGGAGTTTCTGTAATACATGCATTTTGGGAAAAAGGTTTTAATGTTTCCAAATATCTATGATTACCTTCTTATTAAAGGATTTTTTATTTGCAGATGTGATGATTCTGGGTGGAAATCATGAGATTTATAGGCTACTTCCAAGTTCTTGAAGTCTTTTCTAAAATCTGAATGGAAAACAAACAAACAAAAAAATATTTAAATGAACTCTCAGAATTTGCTCCATTTATACTTCCTATTTACATAAAGTTTTCTATAAAGAGAAAATTCTCTTCTAATTAAAAAAAAAAAAACAAAAAGCAAAAGAACCAATTCTTCAAGACTCAATTCAAATCGCATCTCTTTCCAAACCCTTTATGCAAAGAGAACAGTTCTTTCCACAGTTTATCACTTGATGGTGTCAGTACTGCCATAACAGGGCTATTCCCACTGGGTTATGTGGAGCTGTGCGTGTTTCCCCTGCTCTATGAGACACAATCTTTACTGCTAAAGTGGGAAAATCCTCCATTTGAAAATAGATAGATGTGCTGGGTTGAAGTTTGGATTCACAAATTATTGTCTGGTAACTTTAGGCAAGCCTCTAAACCCCTCACAATCTCAGTTTTATTTATATAATGAAGATATCTTTTTTACCTACCTCTCAAGAATGTTAGATCAACTGAATTAAAATGGGTGAAAGGGTATTATGATACATAAAATGTTACTTCACTATTTAGCTGCCATTTATTGACTAAGTTTTAAGATTGATATTATCACACTTCATGTTTACAATAACCTAATGAAACTACTCTTATCTCCATTTTACAGATGAGGAAACAGGCTTAGAAAGGTTAAGCAACTTACCTAAGGTTACTCAGCTAGCAAATCACAACCAGGTCTGTATGATTCAAAAACCTATGCTCTTAACCATTATGCCATACTTCCTTCCCCCCTTACAATTTTATAAGTTATCTCCAATTCTGGCATATAATAGGCATCAAATGATTTCTGAATTTAATTTTAATAAGGTCCTATGGAAAAAAATATACTAATTAACAATGTGATTCTTGTTACTTTCAGGCCTGGTACATTATAAAGATTTCAGATTCCAAATTAATCTCCCCCCTCCCTTTTTTTTTTAACTAAACCTTGCTAAGATTAAGGCCTAAGGGCCAATATGGCACCACATAAAGGACAGCAAGTCTACTTCTATTTCCCTCTGGGAGAGAATTCATTAGAGAACCTTTAACAGTATTAATGTTTAGAATAAAACAACATCTGCATTTGGATCTTTCCCTACAAAGTATCACCTCAGCTAAAACAGTGTTAATACAAATGACTACCAGATGCCATTGTGTTGACTCTGACTCATGCTGACTGAGCATGCATCAGAGTAGAACTGTGCTCTATAGAGTTTTTAATGGATGATTTTCTGGAAGCAGATCGCCAGGTCTTTCTTCCGAGGGGCCTACGGGTAGACTAGAACCTCCAACCTTTCGGTTAGCAGCCAAGCACATTAACCACTGACACCACCCAGAGACTCCAAAGAAATGGACTACTGCCTTTGTGAGGAGTCCTTTACAAGGAGCCTGTCGACTATTGTCTTCCCCCTGGTAGCATGTTTAAGCTTCGGAACAAACCACTCCCCATCCCTAACCTCTAAGGCCTGAGTTTGTTAGCAGGGTTAAAGAGATACCTTCTCCAGCTAGGCATCAAGGTGTCTGACCACCTCCCCTACCCCATCCTAGGGTGGTCAGCGAGGAAAAATCTATATTGTGCTGCGTAGCCAGGCACGTACGCTTTAGGGTATAAAAATGGCTGGAGGAAGGACCTCGGGGTTCCCCCTCAGCTATGGTGCTAGGGGAAGCTCGCATTGCAGTTTTTTAGCCCACTTAACTAAGTCTACCTAGCCAGAGGCAATCAGTGTTAAGGAAGGCCCTAGAGTCCCTACCTAAGATGTATCTCAGAGCATGCAAAGAAGAGTTTTCTATCACTGCCCAGACAGCTTTTGAGCCGGGGGGACCACTCATCACAGAAATGTTTCCTGTTGTAAGCTGTCTGCCTCTTGTTGTAAGTAATAAAAGCTATTTTCCATGTCCTAACCCTCTGGGAGCCTCTTGGGTGCTCAGACTCTGACTGGAAGTCTGTTATATTCATGGAGGAATCACTATTGGTGATTGGTGCCCTTCTTCTAATTGCCTTCTGGCTATTTGGAAATCTGGGACAACCTGTGAGAGCATCACAGTCCTCTAATCTTTAATACATCTAAATGAAAAGAGCTTCCTGACTATAGATAAAGTAGAAACAAACAAAAACCCTGAAAGCTCAGAACTAATTTATATTGTGAAGATGGGGAAAAAAAAAAAGCAAGCTAAGACATTTTAATTTTTATAGCAGTTTACCTAAGACCATCACAGTTTCTGATGCCCCTTTTCTGGGAGAGCAACTGAATTATATTTGAGAACCCGAAGGACTACAAGGAGCTTCTTCCTTTGCCAAACACAAAGCACATGAGGCACGAGGTATGGCCAAAGCACTGAAGTATCTTTGGAGTTCAGTAAATTATAGTAATTATAGTCTAATTTGGGCATTTATCCTCACCATAATAATAACTACAATTTATGAAGGACCAGGTCTGTTATTATTCTAGTTCATTAGTTCTCAAAGTGTGGCCTAGGGACCCCTGGAGGTCCCTGAGATGCTTTCAGTATTTCATAACAATACTGCTATTTGTCTTTTTTAACTGTTGGTATTTGCACTGATGGTGCAAACACTATGATGGGTAAAACAGTTAGCAATCAAAGCAGTAACACCAAACTGTACATTAGTGTCATGGTCTGAATTTTGTCCCCCCAAAAATGTATCAATTTGGCTGGGCCATGATTCCCTGTATTGTGTGGTTGTCCTCCATTTTGTGATTGTAATTTTATGTTAAAGAGGATTAGGATGGGATTGTGTAACACCCTTACTAAGGTCACATCCCTGATCCAAGTAAAGGGAGTTTCCCTAGGTTGTAGCCTGCACCACCTTTTATCTTACAAGAGATAAAAGGAAAGGGAAGCAAGCAGAGAACTGGGGACCTCATACCACCAAGAAAGCAGTGCCAGAGCAGAGTGCATCTTTTGGACCCGAGGTTCCTGTGCAGAGAAGCTCCTAGTCTGGGGGAAGACTGATGACAACAAAGACGTTCCTCCAGAGCCAACAGAGAGATAAAGCCTTCTTCCAAAGCTGATGCCCTGAATTTGGACTTGTAACTTACTAGACTGTGAGAGAATAAACTTCTCTTTGTTGAAGCAATCCACTTTTGTAGTATTTCTGTTAGAGCAGCACTTACATGACCAAGACAATTAGTAATTGTATTCTTCACTGCCACACACTTGTGGTTTAAAAAAAAGCCAGTTTCACTTAAAAATGCTTGATGCAGCAGTGAAACTTATTTATTTTATTAATTTACTTAATTTATTCATCTTTTCAGTATGCTAAGCAAGGAAATGGGAAGTATGCATAAAGAACTTCTGCTGCATACTAAAGTATGTTGTCAGTTTTAAGAAAAAGTTATTTGTAAGACTGATTTGAGTTGCGAGCTGAGTTTAGCTGGTTTTATCATGAGCACCATTTTTACTTGAAAAGATGACTAACAAACTTTGGTCATTCAAACATGGCTATCCAGTAGACGCTTTCTTGAAAATGAAAGAAATGAAGCTGTCACTTCAAGGGAAACAACTGCTAGTATTTGTTGCCAATGATAAAATTCAAGTTTTCAAATTAAAATAAGAATTTCAGAAAACCTGTAACCACCACGAGTTTTGTAGCTTTCCAATGCTTATAGAGACTTCCTGCTAATATTAGCAGTGATAACAACAGATGAGTTTTTTTTTTTTAATGTTGTAAATGGAAACACATCAACATTTGGAAGATGTGCATAACTCTGCAAACTAGTATTTTCCGAATGGCAATACATGCTGTTATAAAATCATGCATGGGTAAAGGATCCATTCAACATGCAAGATAGACGAATGAAAACTGATATGATTTCAGATTTCACATTATAAGACCTTTAAGAAACTAGCAGCTGTTGAGTGTTGGGGCAGTATCAAGGAAGACTATCCAAAATTATCTGAAAAGGCTATTAAAATACTCCTCCCCTTTTCCAACTACATAATCTATAAGAGGCTGCATTTCACAACAGTCTGAATGTAGAAACGGATATGAAAATCTAGCTATCTTCTATTAAGCCTTTCATTAAAGAGATTTGAAAAGTATAGAACAAGGCCATTCATCTCACTAAATTTTTTTGTTCTGAAAAATGTCATTTTTCATCGTAAGTTTTACTTATGTTAACATATAATGGGTTTATTATTTAAATGAATATTTAAATTTTTTCAGTTTTAATTCCAAAATAGCAATTACTGATAAGATATAACTTGCAGAAGCAAAAGTTTGAGGTTCTTAATAATTTTTAAGAGTATAAAAATATCCTGAGGCCAAAAAGTTTGAAAACGGCTGTTCTACTTGATTGATATTAGCTATCCAATTTAAACTTCACCTCACAACTACTGTATGAGACAATTCCCCTTTTACACCCAAAGAAATTGTGGTTCAGGGGAGGTAGGTGATCTAACCAATGCTATATAGCTGGTAAGTGACAGCATTCAAACCCAGAGTTAACTCCATAGGCTAGTGTTTTTTCTACTACCTTGAAGTTCTCTTCTGAATGCAAATGGTTAATGCACTCATCTGCTAACCTGAAAGGCTGGATGTTCGAGTCCACCAGAGGTGCCTCAGAAGAAAGGTTTGGCAAACTACTTTTGAAAAATCAGCCATTGAAAATCCTATGGCGTACAGTTCTGCTCTGACACACAAAGGGGTTGCCATGAGTCAGGGTCAACTTGATGACATACGGTGTTTTTTAAAATATGAGGTCATTCTACTGAATTGCCTTCTGATGAAACTAGACCATCAGTTTGAACACCAAATAAAATGATATGCTTTAAGGTGTTGATCCTACAGAAGACACCAAAATATATGGCATTAGCTTGAATTTTCAATCAGTTGCTTGTACATTCCTAGTAGGTACAGTTTTTCTGTATTCTCCTTGAGTTTTAGTTGCCCTTTTCATCATGTTCATTTATGTTTCCTTTCATTCATCTGCTTCTAATCTATTGTACAACAAATCTATGAATTGAAG